AAACATCATGAGGATTATTCTACATTACATTTCTGCCAATAGTTCCCTTTCACCTAAATCTTACACACTGGACCTTTAAGTGACCCGTGATGTCTCTTTCCTTTTCTCCCCATCTTATGCTTTCTCTCCCTGTTCTGTTCTGTGCTGGTCTCCCCTCTCCCCTATTCACAATAATATTGTGAATACTCATTACAAATAAAAAAAGTTAAAGTTAAAGTGACAACTGTTTTCCTGGCTTCAACTCTACATCTTAAACACAACTGTTTAGTAAAACACTTAAGAAATGTGGCTTTGGGTTTCCATCACTATGAATATTTAAAAGGAGTATATGATGCCATTGGGGGTGTGGCCTACTCATCTCTAGTCTCTAATTGAAAGCAAAGCTAATTTGCATGCTACACTTTGAGTTGAGAACACATCCTTTTTTCTTGTTTCCGCTCTCTGCCTCATTATAAGACAATCTGAATAATGACGAACATATACATTAACCACTGGTATAATTGTTTTGGAATAAATTATTCTGAAAATAATTCTCTTTGAAAAGAGAGGAGGGAGGTAGAAAAATGAGCGTGAAAGTAAAGAGTCTTGAAGTGAGCGTGCACATGTGTCTGTGTGCAAGTGTGTGTTGATGCAGTGCTGCTGCTAACTTGCTCTAAATACATCTCTGATTAGCATTTTCCCTTTAAAAGAAATCATTTAAACTTTGATATCCCTAATGGTGCTTAAGGGCTTATTTGCTCCTCCACTGGCCCTCACACACTCGCTCCTCAGCCCACGTAGAAACGATCACAGCAGCGTTTTATTCACTATACCCTTCATTCACAAGCTGTATTAATGAGCACCACTGAATACGGCTTTAAAAAAACATTACAAAATGTTGAGTGAATCAGAAGCGTGCGGCACTCAACAGTGTGTGCATATACACAAAACACACACACACACACACACTTGTTTCTACCTCTATCTTAATGAGGACACTCATTGAAATAATACATTCTCTAACACTTACCCTAACCTAAGTCTAACCCTAACCCTAAAACCAACCTCAGAATTTGTGAGGACCTGCCAAAATGTCCTCACAGAGTCCAAATGTCCTCACAATGATTGTATTGAACCAAAATTGGCCCTCATAACACACACACACACACACACACACACACACACACACACACACACAAACACCGGGCTTTGTATGAGCATGTGGCGGTGGCCCACCAACAGAGGGTGGTGTTGTATCGCAAGTGTGAGAACAGAGCAGCGCGGTTTTGAGCTGAAGCGGATCTCCTGACTTTCTAATGAGCAATTCACTCCTGATCACTGGATAGAGAAAAGGAACGCAGCACTTAAATGGATGATGCTGACATGAAGACGCGATGGTTGTTGCTCAACTGAATCTGTCAGCTGCTCATTGATAAACACGACTTTCTCACTTGGATGTTGTGTCTAAAATCTTTTACTGTCTCAATTCAACAATTTAATATTTCAGAAATGTTTAAAAATAATACCAGCAGCTCAGTTTTTTTCTCTTTGACTCAAGACAAAATATAATGACCTTTCTTTTTTCATACCTCCGTTCCATGACAACACGTCAGCTTCTGCCGCTCATGTGATATGATTTAAGTCTCTGGAACAGGAACCTGTGCTTCTGTTTCCAAAGTCAAAATCAGCTGTTTACTATGAAAAAATTACATTTTCCCTGTATTGAACAAAACAATTCGTGGCTTCTGTTGCCAGGATTTCTTCAGCAGTGTATGAGATTTACTCAAATGTACAAATCAAATTCACTTGATTACAAGGAGATTCATCAGATGCATCTACCTCTGGCTTCTGATTGGCCTGCTGTGAAAAACGTTGATACGTTTAAAATATTTAGCATTCCTAGCACAGCTTCTCAGTAACGTTGTGAACTCACTGTGCACATTTGTTTCTCCTCACACCCTGCTTTATGTCCCAGCATGCATCTGAACACATAAACATCAATATTAGCAGTTTAGTGGCGAACAGTTGTTGGGAAAGTGATCTTAAAACTCTAAAGGACACCTCCACGTCCCTCTAATTAAAACTTAACCGCCCAGCCGAGGCGATGGCTGATAGGAGGGGGGGAGGGAAAGGGGCTTATTTAGCATTAACATAAAAACAAACAGCCGCATATATATATGCAAATGAAGGAAGGGCGAAAGCAGAATGCCAGGAGCCATCCGCCATAACTCACACTGATGGCCTTTAAGTGAGAGATCGCCTTCGAAAAACGTCCAATAAGAAAGTGGGAATGATGCACCTGTCGCCCGTCTGACTAATGAGCCAATCAGGTAGCAAGGACAAGGAGCATATCCGGGTAGAGAAGTTGGCCTGGAGTGTCACTTGGCACAGAATGCACTCATGATTCCACAGCAGTGAAGATTTCGCAGCTTTAGGTGAAATAAAATACTCCAAAACAGCAACAACACACCTTAAAAAAATATGTGTGTGTGTGTGTGTGTGTGTGTGTGTGTGTGTGGACAGAATATGAGCGACAATGAAGACAGCTTCTATGTCTTTCCCTCCGTCCATTCAAAGCAGTTTTAATCCCATATCTTCATGAAAAAAAAAATCACTGGCACAGAGTTGCGCCTTAAAACTGACAATGATTTACATTTCAACATAATGCTCTCTGTCGGCTGTTATTGTGACAAAGTGCTGCATGTATCCCTTCCAAATGAAAGTGGGTGTTCTGTTATGTGTGCAACAAAGACATTTGGACGAACCTGCCATCCTCTCCTTTTTCTTGCAAATGAGCATGGGAAATCTATTTATGTTTTTTTACAGTATACTGGTGAAATAAGGAGAGGCTTTTGGCTTATTGAGAGACAGCCTGAGCAGCCGAAACAAGCCCCCGTGAAGATATTTAGAAAGAAAAAAAAGAAAGAAAGAAGAAGGATGGTGGAAAGGAGCGGCAGCACTCGAGGCAATGCAGGAAAAGTAGCGAGGAGTCCAAACACAAAGCCGGGTGGATGAGGGACGGGAAAATGCGTTCTCGCTGGATGATCTGCCGCTCTGACAACACCTGGCCGTGGAACAAACTACAGGCTTGTCTAGATGCGAGGTAGAGAGGGATAAAAAGAACCCTGAGGCCTGCAATCCTCCCCCCCAGCTCGCTTTTTTCTATTGCAAGCAACGAGGTTGAGGATAGAGATGGAGGAACGAAGTTGAAATGCAGACATGCAGATGAAGAAGAAGAAAAAAGAAGGGTTTTTGGAATGTGATAGCAGCTAATCCCGCTCAGATGCCGCTCTGTAGGGATGAAGGGGCTGGCAGCTGGAGTTTGTAGTCATTGCTGACTGGCCACTGGTTCAAACCTGTGCTTTAAAAAACACTGACGTTCCTCCAAATACATCTGAGCGAGGTGGGGTTTCATCATCACCACAATCTAGACATTCACTCTCACCTACTTTCTGTTGTCAGTACACACACGCACACACACACACACACACACACACACACACACACACACATCTTCTCCAAGTCACCAAATTTCTACTTTTGCGTTTGAGCCTCCTCCTCTCCCTCAGGGACGTGTGAGGATGAGAATCAGACGCTCCTCTCTGTTAAACAGTGGCTGCTGCAGGGAGGCAGTGAGCAGCCTGCATGCAGAGATGCTGCTTTCTGTCACCAAACCAGTTATCCATCATCAGCCTACATCCACATCCTCGCTACACACACACACACACACACACACACTCACACACACACACACACACACACACACTGCACCTATTTGTGACATAAAAGTGTGTGTATGTGGAAGTTATTGCATTTTTGCCTTTTGTCTTTTGTTTTCATTATAATTTTACTTTGGAAATACAATGGCATTCTTGATGAAAGGTCTGTGAAATATTTTTCATAATTGGAAATGATCATTTTCCACTTCAGGTAGTGTAAGGTCATCATGAGGTCACACACTCGCCCTGTTTAAACTCTGACATCTTTGACCAGTTGAAATGACTTTTCCTTCTCTGACAGTTAATGTTAATGTTAATTAATATGTTAAAAACTGTTCTGAAATAACGAGGTGTGTTTTCATAAACTACAAGCTACATGCAGGATATTATTAAATGATCTGAATGATCCACAAACCAGAGCGCTTATCTGGACCAAGACGGCGCATTTGTCTGACTCCGAGTCGGGTACATATTCAGCGGCTTAATAGATTAAACACACACCGACCTGTTATTTACTGATTTTAATTTTTTTTTTAACTCAGTGACTCAATGAAAATCGTACAATAATTACGTATAATTTATTTTTGTTGCATTTAAATGTCAAATTGAGAGACATGCATTTTTTACACGGACCGTGAAATGACAGGCCTGTGCTGTGGAGAAGGTGTTTGCACGCGCATGTGGAAGTGTTTCAAAGGGTCGAATGTTGAGTTTAAGCAGAGTTTAATCATCAGAGACATTTGCGCACACTGTCCGGCACAGTCTATGAGTGCGTAACGAAGGGCGCGCTGACACACTGTGCGTGTTCACCTCTAAAAAATACGATCATGGGCTCTTGCAAAGTGTCCGGCATCCTGTGGAGGATGTACTGAAAACCCTCGGGTCACAATTTAACACAAATAACTCCAGGTCTAATAAAGACGGGACAGAGACACAGGGGCGACCATGACCACTGCGCAGTGCGCGCCACGCGCCCGAGTGTGTGCGAGGGCGTGAGAGTGGCGTGTGTGTGTGTCAGTGTGTGTGTGTGTGTGTCAGTGTGTGTGAAAGCCACCACTAGTCGCCCCCAGTGCTCTTCAGTCTCCACTCTCCCTTCTCACCGCAGACTGAACGTCACGTCCGCACTTGAACTTGAGTTTTCTCCCATTGTAGAAGCCAGAGAGCCGCACACAGCCGCACACCGCCGCACACAGCCCGGGGATGCGGGACGCTGCAGCCAGCACAAAGAGAAAAGAGGGTGGCAGTCTGTCCTCAAACCAGCACTGGGCTTTGACTTGAAGAGTTAAAGTCTAACCCGCCCGCCTGGCTGGCACTGCCAGTTCAGCAGAAGAAGTGCCCACCACTTGGCGACACCCAGTGAAGTGCCGAGGAGAAAATTGGATCCCTATTTTAAACACTTTCCAACATTAATTGGTGTCCAGCTACCTGCTTTGTCCGAGCAGGTACGCACGTTGTCCAAAGTGGCCGGAGAGTGGACACAGGTAGTGACCCACCACCAGGAGCTGACCGCCGACCTCCCGTGCTTCGCTGCGTCCCTCCACTCCATTGCGCTCCTTCCTCCGCTCTCCTCTCACAGATGGTGCGAAAGTAGCCGAAGGCAGAGCCGGACTATCTCCCCCCCTCGCCACCGCCACGACCGAAGAAGAGAGGCGCACAACCACTTTGGCACCGAGCTCCGACCGAGCGCCCGGCCGCCCAGCGCTGCGCCACGGCCGGTAACCGCAACGCGCAGCGACCGCTGCCCGCTGGAGGGAGATCCGCCGCAGAGGGGTCAATTCGAGGGCCACATTTGGGGCCAGTGCCGTGCGGTCAGTTTCGGGTGGCCAGCGAGCGGCCGGTTTTGGGGCCAGATTGCAGTCGGTATACCGGAGCAACTGCAGCAGCCGCAGCCGCAGCAGCAGCAGCAGCAGGAGGAGAGCCGACCAATCCAGCGCCGCTCTCCGGGCGATGCCAGTGTAAATGCCAGGGCGATGTCCCGACGCAAGCAGGGGAACCCGCAGCACCTGTCCCAGAGAGAAATAACACGTGAGTATACCTGCAAAGATTCACACAATATTTTCACAACAATCAGCTTTTCGTTATTCCTTTTTTTCTCTTGTCATTCGGAGGTATTTTTCTTCCGGACGTTCGGTGCGAAAAAACAATTTCAAACAAACAGAAAGTTTTCAAAGTGCCCCCCGAAGGCCTCTTTTCTTCTTTTAGATGAATAGCAATCTCAGACAAAGTTCGAATGTACCTACGTGATGACTGCGGTGTAGAAATCAACTTGAATAACAGAGACAGTGGAAATGTGTTGGACTTTTACTGAACAAGCAGCTCACGGAGAAGTCGGACTTTTGAACTGACGTGAGTTCTGCGTCGTTCCACTGTTTGTATGAATGGAGTTTTAAACAGGGGACGCAATGACAGTTTATTTATAATACAATTATCATTCCTCCGATTTAAATTCGTTATTACTTTAAGACGCACTTTCGTCAGCAGATACAGATGGACATATGAAACAGCAGCTGTTTTAAAAACACACAAAAAAGACTTTTGATTTTCGAATTGAATTAATTGTATTCTTTTATTTAATTTTAAAACGTGTCTTCATCCTTTGCTTCGATAGTTGGACCTTATTTGAAGCATCACTCGCTTCTTTTCCCCCCACAGTGAAAGTGATGAATGAAATCCAGCTGACCCGATTCTCCTCTGTGCGCACGGGCAGCCTCACTTTCTTTTTCTCTTTCTGCAGCTTGTTAAATCTTTAACAGAAAAAAATCCAGCCTCACGGTTCGAGCTGTTTAGTCCCGTTTTTCAGCTGCACGAAGGCAAAGTTTATACTTCCGCTGCTTGTAATATTAATGCTGTCTCTGGATTATTTAAAACCCTGCGCGTCCCGACAGCCAGAATTCAAGGGTTTCCCTCACGGCCCTATAATGCAGAGCATAATAAGTGACGGCATTTAAAGTGAAACTACGTTGAAAATAAATATTACATTAATGTGAAGGAGAAATAAAACATTTAATGCGTTTATTCTTGGAAAAATTATGATAAAGAAACGTACTTCTCATTTAATTTTTTTTTGCAAAGAAAATGAACTATTTTTGTTCCACTTTTTTAAATGAAACCCAGCGTAAATTGCACAAATGAAATCACAGAGGAAACGCATCGCTTCCGTGTTTTTTTTTACGCCAACACTTGTTTGCGCTGACGCTTGACACTCCTCGGCAGATATAATTACAGCTGATGTGTCCTGACAGGAGCAGCGAGTCTTCATGCAGGACTTTAGAGAAAACAGTAGGAAGGGACACTTAGTGATGGATGCAGCTAAAATCCTCAATCTGTCACTGGTTTACAGGTTTGCATTACTGAGGTACGTGATGCAGCTCTGCATCAGGACTTTATGTTGGGTGAATATCACCGCTCTCTTCCCTGCTGCTTCAGGATGTTTGGGGAGATTTGTCTTGAGTGATGTGTGCCAGATCAGATCACTTACACCAGTGTATCAGTGTGCACCTTGGTGGCTTGGTATATATAACTTAACAACAATTTTTACAGTAGAAACTCAGCCTGCCTGGCTGTGTGTAGGTGCTGTCCTCTGCTGCATGGCCTGACTTTTACTACACACACACACACACTTGAAGACACTGCATGTGACACCAACCAAATCACCTCCTGACATGAGGAAAGCTGATACAACTACAACTTGTATGTGTGGAAGCTCAGAAGCGGGCCTGCGGTGTGGACGTGGTTACCTTCAGAAATGGGTCACATTGTGCACGCTGCATGTTGTTGCTGAGACTTTTAGTTCCTGTAGCACCGAGCTAAAATACACACTAACACAATAACAGGTAGACAGACGGACAGACAATCATTAAGTGTGGAGAGATGAAAAAACATGCAAATAAAAGTTAATAAATGAGGCTCCTGCTTGCTCTGTGGAAAAGCTGCTTTACTTTCAATCAGTGTGTGTGTGTGTGTGTGTGTGTGTGTGTGTGTGTGTGTGTGTGTGAGGGAGAGAGGTGTAAAATGCAATTTGATATTTGTGTCCTCAGAGCAGCGCTGAACTGTCTGTCTGATTTATGCTGTACATTCCATAATTCATGTGTAAGAGATGCTCCCCAATTTAGTATGCTTGAGTGCTCTCTCTCTCTCACACACACACACACACACACACACACACTTAAATATGTATGTAGGCTTTTGTGGACATCAACACAGACCTACATGTAAATGAACACATGCGAATCCCTCCTTCAAATTCTGCGTCTCGAAGTATCAGGTCATAAAATCTGTTTGAGCTGTGTTTTAATTGGGGCACTTTCATTTTGTCTCTCTGCAACATGATGATTCACACTCTCCAAAACAATGAGATTGTGCCTGAATTGTAGATTTCAGTAGGACAGGAACATGTGTTACTCCACCTCTCTTTTTTTTCCTTTTACTGTCTTTTCCTGAGCGGGAGGAAGTGTTGGGAACAGTAGCGCAATTTTCTGGATGTTAAATTGTGGATTTATTTTAATGGAGTTTGGCCTCAGTCATGAAGCAACATCCTAACAGTAAAAATGGAAAATTATTACGGGCGTCATCTTTTTGAGTTGCAGTCCTTTTTTGTACTGTCTTCATCCCATGCAGTCTGAGAGCTTATTCAACTGCTTCCCTTTGTTTCCATCTGTTTCTGTGTGAAGAGAAAATATATTTGTAAGACTGATCAATAAGGGATCACACTTGGCCTGGAATCCTCTTCTCTGTGCCCTTCATGAACACCAAATAATAATTTACGTGTTAATCGCCGTGGAAATCTCGATTTTTTTTTTGTGTGTTTGTCAGGCAGATTCAGTGTGTGTTTTGGTGTCACCACGCTGAGAAAGTTTACACCCGAAGGTGCAGACGTGCCTTCTGTTTCTCATTCACTGCAAATAACCCGAGCTTTCCTCCGAGAGGCTGATTTAGTGTGAAGAGACGCAAACAGGACGAGAGCTCCCATTGTAGCTGCACACACACACACACACACACACACACACACACACACACACACACACACACACACGGAGAGAAAGAGAGAGACAGGGCTGTGTGTAAATTGCAGTCGCCCACTTGAGATGCATGTTTCCCTTTGGCTTGTCAAATAGCCATGCACCCTGCTGGGGCTAAGTCTTTGTTAGAGAGAGTGAGAGAACCTGGCATCTCCTTCTAGTCTATCCTCTGTGAAATGTTGTGTGGATGAGCTGTCTTTAAAATACCATAAATGAAGATCTAGCGTATTCATAAAGGTGTCTGCTGATTGGAATTGATACATGAAGCTGTTCGTCTTTGTCAGATCATTCACTCCTTTCACAAATGTTGTTCACACTAATTATCAAAGCATATTGTTTCTCATTGTAAACGGCTTTCTGTAAAAAAAACACTGCCAGTGAGCTCAGTGGTTTTTACACAGCAGCTTTTGAAATGTCATTTCTGAGCTGTGAATTTTATCTTCCACAAAATGTGAGACAATATTTAGAACGCCCATTTTAGTTTGTGTGAGTGTTAATGTGTTTGTGTGTCAGTCCTTAGGACGAGGGGTTTTCAGTTCTCAATGAGCGTGCCTAAAGTCTTGTTGACGATCAGCAGGCTGTACACACTCTCCTAACACTGATACTGTGTTGCACACACACACACACACACACACACACACACACACA